GGAGGTTCCTCAAAAAGTTAAACATAGAACTACCTTATGACTCACTGATTCCACTCCAAAGAAATTCAAAACACTAATTTGAAAAAAATATATGCACCCCTATGTTTATTGCAGCGTTATTTACAATAGCCAAGACTTGGAAACAACCAAAATGTCCATCAATAGATGATTGGATAAAAAAATTGTGGTACATTTATACAATGGAGTATTACACTGTCGTAAAAAATAAAATCTTACCATTTGCAGCAATGTGGATGGAAGTAGAGGGTATTACGCTAAGTGAAATAAGTCAGACTGAAAAAGACTATTGCCATATGGTCTCACTTATATGTGGAATCTAAAGAACAGAATAAATGAATAAACAAAACAAACAGACTCATAGATGTAGAGAACGAACTGAAGGTTGCCGGATAGGAGGAAAGTTGGGGGGATGGGTGATAAGGTGAAGGGATTAAGAAATACAAATTGGTGGTTACAAAATAGTCATGGGGATGTGGGGTACAGTACGGGGAACATAGTCAGTAATGTTGTAAAAACTATGTATAGTGTCAGGTGGTACTGGACTTATCGGGGATCACTGTAAATTATATAAATGCCTAACCACTGCGCTGTACAACTGAAACTAAAATAATATTGAATGTCAGCTATAATTAAATATATACATATGGTCACAGGACGCAAAGTACAGCATCGGGAATCTAGTCAGTGGTGTTCTAATAGCTGTGTATGATGTCAGGGGGTAGTAGACTTGGGGTATCACTTTGTGAGGGGTGTAAATGTCTAATCATGTTGTTTCATACACCTGAAACTAATAATAAAAAACCGTAGGGAATCTACACCTAGTGAAATAAAACATTCATGTGGCAGTTGGCTGTTTCTTTTATTTTCGGATCCCTTGTATAATAACTCCAATCTGTTTACCTTAGCACTGTTCCTGGCTAGTATCAAGGAAACGGGGTGCTTCCCTTCCTTTACATCTAGAAACTCAGTGGGGTAACTTTTAATATGGTTTCTAACTCCAGGATTCATATGAAGAGTATAGATGGGTAACTTTATTAAAAGGCGATTTTATAACTTTATAAAAGTAAGCATGAGCCCCATTTACCTGTGTGGTTTTGCAAGTGGGTGCATGTTCTCTATCCCAAAATCAGAACACATTCACGAATTTTCAGCCTGGGGGTTTGAACTGTAATTAAAATGCAAATGTGTTAGCTTAATATAATAGCTGGAAGAAATCTTAAAGATCAATCTCATTGAAGCATCTCATTTCATAGATGAGAACTCTGAGACGGAGAGCTTAGTGACATTCGAGTGACAAATGGAGATAGCTCATTGCACAGAGGGCTGTGAGCCCCCGGAGGGCTGGCGCAGGCCGGGTCGGGCAGGACTTGCCCCATGAGTGTTCACCAGGTGGGGCATGAGGTGGCCGCCAGCACAGAGACTCCAGCTAAGGCCTACACAGGGGATGTAGTCATTATTGTCATTAATGTCATTGTTGCTTTGAAAAGAGAGAGCTTTGAAAACATGATATTGTTATATGTCTGAACTAAATATAAAGTTGATCCAGAGAGGAGCTCAAATACTTTTATAGACTAAATGGCTACCAAACTTTGCAATTTATTTCAACACCCTGGACTCCGTTCACCTGTAAAATGAGAATAGTAGCCTTTTGTGTGGTTAATGAGATGATACTGGGTCATGCGCACCAAGGACCGGGCACCGAGCCTGGCACGGCTACTCCCCACACCGTGTAGTGACAGATTAGACAAAGAGGCCAGGCTGTGTGGCTCCCAGATATGGCCGGGGGTGGATGGCACTTCTATAATTACAACTGCACACTCAGCAAAGCTCGGGGTTGTGTGAAAACCTAAGAATCATCAAATGTAAGATCCACATTTTATAAATGAATGTTGCCTTCGCTCAGCGTGACGACGTGACACGCCTGAGTGCCAGTGTCAGCACGCCCGGGCCAGTCTGGGGGCCCAGGTGCTCCTTTTTAGGCGTGCCCGCTGCCTGCAGACCCACCTCCCATCGGACTGTGTGGGCTATCCCCACTGCCTTCCTGTAGTACAGCCCGAGGACCACTGAGAAACTTCTGGAATCACTGACTGGCCCGATCCCTGCGCTGTACAAGGAGATACTCACGTTCACTCAGTCGTGACTCACTGTTGAATCCGAACAATTCCCAGCTCTGGCCCCCGTTCTGTTCCTCAGACTTGAGCCCGTGTCACCTCACTGCTCACCGCCGCCTCTGGTGACATAGTGTGCTGACAGTCAGCCCTGAGCTGCCAACCTGTGACTGGTTTTGACTCTAGCAGAACAGATTCATTGTATTCTCCATGCTTTAAGCCAAATACAGGAAATACTACATATTTAGAATTTAATTAAATTCCATAAGCCTCACTGAGCATCTGGGAGTGTCAGCACCAGGCCTGATGCCAGAGGCATCTGATAAGTAGTGTTCTTTTCACTGGGAACATCTCACCCGGAGGGGGACAGAAAGCAGAGAGGCCCTGCCAGCTCAGCCATCTCCAGGAGGGCACAAAAAACGCCAGAATGTGGAGGACACGGAGGCAGCCGGGGCTCCTGGAAGATGGGGCTGACATAAACCTCCCAGGGCCGGTAGGACGGAGCCGGGCGGTGACGGGGAAGGACCGGGGATGGACATACAGGAACAGACAGTCTGACTTAGCAAGATGGCCGGGAGGAGGCGGACAAGGTCATCTGTGAGTAAACTGTGCAGTCACGGCAGCCATTGTGTGTGTGTGTGTGTGTGTGTGTGTGTGTGTGTGTGTGTGTGAGAGAGAGAGAGAGAGAGAGAGAGAGAGAGAGAGAGAGAGAGAAGTGGGGAACAGATGTAACAGAGGAGAATTAACAGTGGAGAACCCCTGTCCCTGCACTCAGCCTGGGCTGCGAGTGGGCCTCTGTCACAGGAGGTTAGGGCGGCTCCCCCAGGCCACGCTGACAGGCTGGGGAAGGGACGCCGGGGAACTGATGCCACCGGGCGCAAGGCCCACTCATCATGACGTTTTGGCTTCTAGATGTTGTGGACACCAACTTGAAAACCAGGCCGACGCCAGGTGGGGGCGTCGTGAAGCAAAGCGGGTCGTGTTCACTCTCATGTCTCCTCAGTGGACAGTAATGCCTTTCTTCACGCAACTAGATTCTTCACGACGCTGCAGAACCCCACAGGTACTAACAGCTTTAAATGTTTGTGTGGCTTGTCATCAATCGTAATAAAATAGAAGTCCTTTCCATGGACCCTGAACCCCCATGTCTGGCCCATGGCCAAGAGTGCCGTGGCCCGAGTCTGTGAATGAAACATCAGCCAAGGTGCTCAGCACAGTCCCGGGGCCGAGAAGGGGCCGTGGCTGGTCTGGCCTGATGGGTCGGATTTTCAGAGGAAGGATCAGAAATGCCAATTGCAAAGGCTGGACACCTGAGAGCCAGACCTTCCTCGGTGGGTGGTGAGACCAGCCTCCCTGGAGAGCAGAGGCGAGGTGAGGAGAGCTAATTCTAGAGATTGTTCTAGAGATACCCGATGCTGGCAGACACTGGGCTTCGTTATTGAGTTTGGACTTTTACACAAAATGTGTGTTCGAGGGCTGAGTAATCAGACTGCACAGGGAGCAGTAGAAAGGACTAAAGAGAAAGCTAATGGAAACTGGGATATTTAGGGAGCTTTCTGAGAATATCCCAAGATGTGCAGAGTAACAGGTAAATAATTTGCATTCAAAAGACCTTAGCTCAGGTCTCAATCATGTGACTTGGCAAACAACTTAATTAACTATAACATAGAAACATTTCCTCCCAGGTTGATAAAAATACTTTGGAAACCAATGAGTGTGAACATGTTTTATAAACTGTCAAGAATTATTAATAAGAAAGTGGTCATAGTTTTTTATTCAATGCACCCAGCCAGTAAGTAGGTCCTGGGACCTTTTTTCCTAGATTTGCCATTTTTGTCTTTAAAGGTTAAAGCCCTGTCAGCTACTTTCTCACATTTTTCATGACAAAAGCTAGTGTTGTGTGACTTCATAATCTGTATTTATTATTTGTCTCTGCTGATGTGCAGACTGAACTGCCTTACTCTCTAGGTGACAAACCTGTCTCTCGCCTTTCGAACACATTTATTATGATGCTGAGTTAAAATGATTTCTTGCATGCCAAGTGTTTATTAAGAAATCCCAAGTACCCGAAAATTTTCAGCATAAAACAAAAAGTCTTCTTTTGGCTTAATAAGATTAATCTGTCATTTCTTGTAGGCTGTTTCTTCCTGTGGCTATCTGTCAAGCAATGCCCTTACGGATTTTCCTCAGCTCCGGCCTTGAATCACCTAAGAGACTGCGGGCAATGTTTCCACATTATTGCCTGAAGCTGATGCCCTCGTGACAGTTAGTGGGGCCACTCAGTCAGCCACTTCCTCTCCTCTGCCTTCATAATCAGATTCTAGACTCCATGTTAGCCGACGACCTTTCAAGGTCTTGGCTTTGGTGCATGAATGTGAATCAACCTGAATTCTTCTGGCTCTCCTGACACTCTCCCATCCAATAACTCACAACATCATGTTATTTCTTTCTTTAAAATTCCTCCCAAACTTTTTTTTCATGCACCATCTGATTTTTGCAGACATTTATAATTTATTGAAGAGAATAATGATTCACCGGAGTATATATCATCACTACCTTCAAGTGCTGATGAAGACTTTGACATCTGATCTTCACAACAACCCTGAGGAGAATATATTATAATTATCCCTATTTCACAGGTAAGCGATAATAAGATTGAGGGTTAGAAAGTTAAGGAACTTGCTGATAGTTCAGAAATTCTGACTTCAGAAGAAGTATCTTTCCACAAACCAATAGAGAAAATGAACTTATATGCTCTTTTTGTTTTACTTTTCAGCTCAAATTTTATTTTAATGTAATGAGTTTGGCTTCATTTTTAATCACAGAATACAAGAATCAGAGTCAACGTTGTGTTGCGTCCAGGTCGACTCAGGTTTCAGAATCACTCAGGCTTGCAGACATCAATCACCCAGCCCAATCTTCTGAGCACGGTTGGCACGCTGCCCACAAAGAGGGCGGAGCCTGGTCCTGCTGCTTGTCCTCGACCATCCCTAGTTTGGAGGTATCCATCATCGTCTCACAGTGTGACTCGTCCAGGATGGAACAGCTCTGTGTCTTTGTGCCTCTCTTCTCAGATGTGACACAGAGCACATATACTTTTCCTGCTGGATGACGGCCCTTCACTATTTTGAAGTCGTCACTGTCTTTAATGGACACGTGATTTCCTAGCAAATACTTCTCGGTTAGACGACTTACGGTGATCAGCTTACAAGTCAGCATTCAGGTAGACTGGAGCGTGGACATTCTGACCGAAGCTGACATTCTGATCACCAGAGAAGCTCTTGGGTTTATCATCAGGCAGCACCACGCAAAGTCTTTTCCAAAGGAAATGTATTCTGTGGCTGAAGGACATTTCCGCTCACTAAATTAAGATGATGATGACAATATTGTATGGTTTCTAGATAAGTTATCATTAGAGAACCACACTACTGAAGGAAATGGAGGCATCTTAGATACTAGTGGTGGATTTCCCACTCACAGTTTCCATTTTGAAAAGCACAAGGAACTCACAAGCCCTCGCTGAGAAGAGGCACTGAGCTGGTCGGGGGTCAGCCTCTGAGAGAGTATTGTTATCACACTGCCTCAGAGAAGAGACCTGGAGAGATGGATGAACTCCCCCACATGTCGTGGGAGGGTACCGTGCGATCAGCTTCCTCTCAGCTAGGAAAAGGCACCACTCGTGCTGTTACTCATGTGCCACAGCATAAATGGTGCTGCTAGTAGTGGATATGCCATCCTACATTACACACGAATTAGCATGCACAGATCCATCCAGGAAATGTCCAGGAAACTATTCTGAATAACTTCACTACTTCAATCGAACCCTAAAGACATAAAATTAAGGTGAGCGCAGCCGTCAGCATCCAGGTAAATGCTACCACCCCTGGCCCCCGAGCCTCAGGCTCTGTCACACCAGCAGTCACAGTGATGGGCAGGCCAAGTCCACGCATGGGCTCAGGCTATGGACAGGCTCTTGGGACAGTCTCCCTAAAGACCGTGAAGGCAAGGATGTAACTCACTATCCTTTTCTTACATGGACAATAAATTGTGTATAGCATTATATATCACAATATAAGATGGAAAACAAAACAGGTACCATTTATTTAGCAAAGAATATGTCTCAGGTGCTGTACTAGGTTCCATGAATGTATTTGTTTTCTCTCTCTTTTTTTTAAACAATCGCAATATTCCTATCTATCCATAGCTTTTATGTAAGGAGTGGGTATAGATTTGAAATCACAAATTTACTTAATACAAATTTATTTCCTTCAACTCTGTCTCCTAAGGATATCCTGACATATCCAGAAAAATTTGAATATCTTTTCTGAAGAGCAAGCGGCTGAAAAGCTGACATAATGCTTCGAACGCTGGGTGACAGGAGGACTTTGTCTCCGAACTTCACAGAGGATGGTCCAGGAGGGTCTTTGTGGGAAAGTTTCATGGGTGAGTTATTTAGACCTAGAAGAGCACAAAATGCTGACCAAACGCTTATAGAAAAAAACATGTGTGATTAACACATTAAACCTTAAACTGAAATACATCGTGGATGAATCAAACATTTGTTGTTAAAATGAATCATAGAAAAGCTATATGAAATATGGGGTGTAGACATGACTGTTTATATCCAACCTATCATAGCCATTTAGTGGGAAAGTTCCTGGAGCCCAGATAGAAACATTCTAACATTTGGAAACGTTCTCACAGTATTTGCTCACCTAGTTACTGGAAGGCGGGGACCACCCCTACCTGTGTTTGGGGTAGGACACCATGTCTCATTTAAAGATGATAATAAATCAGGGAAGGTATTTTTTAAATTTAAAAAGCAGTTACCAAAAACCCTGAATTTATAATTCAGACCTACATTAAAGGGAAGATAGGGACACTCAATATTGTAAACAAGAGAGGTTCAATATTGTTTAAAACAAACTAACAACTTTTTCTTTTCTCAGATTGATCCATAGATTCAAACCAATCACAATGGGAAGCTGGAGAGCTTGTGAGGCTCAACGAACCAAAGTAAAATCACCTGGAAGAGGGAGGAACCCGCCAAAAGCGGGGGAAGCTTCCACTCTCTGACCCGGGCAAACCTCGGAGGCATGGACGTTTGGTCTGAACCCCTGGACAAGCTCCTTCTCACAGCGCAGGCTGCTGCGTGCCATCAAAAGGTCCGCTCCTGATCCACCTCTAGGTGTGCTCGGCGCCAGCGGACAAAACACACCAGGCGTGCAAAGTTCTCACCAGGGCGATTAGCACGCAGGGGAGCTCCGTGAAAGGCACCCACTGACATTCACTTCCCCCCTCACCAAACAGTTTTCCCATTGAATCCTGGTCAAGACACAGGCCACAAATCGGGCGGCCAGTCCACCCTGTACAACGTATCCAAGAGAAAGAGTCACCAATGGAAAGAAATCAGGGCCCTCAATAAACCACAATGAATGCGTCTCCCCAGGGTGCTCCCGGGAAGCGGCCTCCACTCTCCCGAGGACCAGTCCATCATCAGCGAGGGAGGCCTGGGCACTGAGCTGAGTGGTTCCCATTCTGCAGATTCTTCGCTGGCTTCCAGGTCCCAACCTCCTTCTTTGAATCCGTTTCTCCTCACTATTCAATATGAAAATCCCTTTCAAATGCTTGTCCGAGTAAAACATCCGCCACATGAGACGAAGACACTGATCTTCAGTCTTATTTCCATCAACTCCAAAATGAAAATACACACGAGGGAACAGCCTGTGTGTTCTTCACCTGATTCAACTGTTTACGGAGATTATTATGGGACATAAAAGTGCTTCTTCATAATAGTGACTATCTTGTTATATTTTAGGATGTTAATTTTAAATGTCTTATTTTCTATTATTTTATATTTTATATCTTTTGTAACAAATATATTTCTGAAATGCAAAGCATCCATTTACATGAATTATCATTGAGTTTTTATAATATTTAATGTAGAGTTTAATAGTGGGAGATACAAAAAAGTTAAGCTAAGTTTTCATGAATACTATTCAAGAGTTTTATACTTATTTAAACTCCATTGTTGAAAAATTTGTCCATAAATTTCTAAGAAAATTCGTGTCTTTTCTCCCATTAAATTTACAAATTATGAATCTAATGTGTGTGTGTGAATTTTAATTTCTATACAAACTTGCTCTCTGGGAAAAAAAATACCTTAAAAACTCCAAAAATCAGAAGCTGGCAAAGAAAATGTTAACTATGTGATGTCAAATGAATTTTTCCAGCCGGTGGCATTTACTAACTTCTGTATGCATGTGTATAGACGAGAATGTGTGAGTGCTTGTGTGTGCTATTTCAGTAAGTCCTTGTAAAACTCTGTCGGACAGGCAACAGTATTCTTCTATTGTCACCTTCATTCATCAGGTAAGGGAACAGAGGCACAAAGTAATCTGCCTAATCCCTCGGCTGGGGTCAAGGTCCAACACATACAGTAGACCATGGCTTGACCACCTTTCCAACCTAATGCCTCACTGACATGCAGTATACCAACTAACATATTTTCAAAATCCATAGAAAACCATGTGGAAGTTACTGAGGGAACCCAAAATGTAAAGTATTTGAAATTCCATGCCAATGGTCCTTCAAACTCTATATAGCAAGTATTATTATCATCACCCCGGATTTGCATAGGAAAAGTACTGAGGAACAGAGGAGTTAGGTAACCTGCCCAAGGAAGCTCAGCTTCTCAACAGCACAGTGTGTTACCACAAGTGCAGCTTTAACAGAAGCTCAAAATCCTATTTGGCTTCGGTCTTTTCCACCAAGAAAAGCCTAAACAATCTGGCCCCAACATTCTGTGTAGCAAACGTATCACCAAAATAGTTTGGAGCTGACCCCTCCCTATGCAGCCTAGAATACCAACAAGTGCCACCTGCTGACTTCACGTGCCTCCCACGCTTCTGTCTGCTTTCTCCCTTCCTCTGCAGCACGTTTGAGCTGCTACAGGCTTTGATCATTGCCCACTGGACTGCACTACCTGCTCTGCACACCAGCCTGGCCAGATCGCCTCCAGGTCTTAACCTCTGCTCTTTCTTCACATGGCCGTGTAATTATTGTTGCTGCACGAAAGAAAAAAAGCGAACATCCAAATTATAACCATTCACTAGGAACAAAGAATGACCACAAGAAAATTATTATTTAAAATATTAGTCTATAGAGCTCCATTGTCTGCTTGCTCTAGATTTGAATAAAAGAATATACTTAGAAAAGATGACAGAGGCCACCTTATCTGCTGAACCTTATGGAAAGCTTTGGCTGTTTCTAGTGTTTCCATAGAAACAGATACAACACGAGCAAAGGTGATGTCAGGTGTTTTAATATGATTTTCCCTCACTTGTGATTTTTAAAAATCAGATTCTATTTGTTCCCTGATCAAGACTATTATCTGCTACTCGAAATTAACCAGTGCCCTCACTTTCATAGAAATGAAAGCATAGATCATTGAAATGTAAAATATGTGTGAAACTATCCCTTCGGAACAATCCACCTCGATTCTGTTTTAAATGATACCTGCCTTGCGGTGCTGACACAGGCTCCCCCCCTCCCATTGTTAAGATGCCTGTATAGGAACAGAAATAGACGAAAATATCCTAGCAATATTGAAAATTAGGCCTCAACATTCAACGCTGCTCAAAGGAATTTTTATAAACCACAAGGCCAAAAAATTGGACTTCAGAGGCAAAATCGGTAGACCTCTCCTGCTATGTCCTGGGAAAAAGCGAGCCAGCCTGTCCCTCTTTGTCTTTTCTGAGTGTGTTTATCTACAATAGTTCAGAAATGCAGTAGCTCCCTCTGTTGCAAGGCTACATTTCTTTTTTTTCTGAGGTCTCTATAACAGCCGTGTCCCCTTCCATGAGCTGTCCAGAAACTGCAGCCCCGGACGAAGTGGTAAAAATGAGTATGTGAGTCTGGATATGTGCTCACACGCACCCTGGTGGGTGGTTGTGCAACCAGGACCCTGGAGTTTTCACTGCCTCAGAGCAGTGGCTCAGAAAGGAGGAGGCCCTGTGGCCGCACATCCTACATTACAGAGAAAGTGTGGGGACCAACCCAGCGGACAGGCAGTGAGGAGGAGACACATGCCCCGAAGTTTCTGGCCTAAGATGAGGTCACCTCCGTATCAGCACCCAGCTGAGGACACACTACAGACAGAGAGACGTGAAAGCTGTAATCTACCTTGCATGGTCTTGAATTAGGCATCATATAAACAAATCTGGGTTTTTTTGTTGTTTTGTTTCATTTTCCCTACATTGTATATGTCATCCCACTGCCGTCTAGCCTTCATGACCCCTGATAAGAAGTCAGTTTTTAATTTTATTGAGAATCCGTTGTACACAATGAGTTTTTCTCTGCTTTCAAAGTTATTTCTTAGTAGTTTCCCCCCCCCCCAATACATTTACTATGACATGTCTAAGTATAGATCTCTTTGAGTTTATCCTAGTTCAAGTTTGCTGAGTTTCTTGGGTGCACAGGTTAATGATTTTATCAAAAATCTCTATGTCTTGAAATATAATTTCTGTCCCATTCTCTTTTCTTCTGTGACTCCTATTAAATGTATATTGGCGTGCTTGATGGTGTCTCAAAGGTTTCTGAAGCTTTCTTTATATTTCTTGATTACTTCTGTTCTCTGTTCCTCAGCAGAGACCAATTCAATTGATCTGTCTTCAAGTTCACTGATTCGTTCTTCTGCTAGCTCAAATATGTTTTTGCAGCCCTCTAGTGAGGTTTTTAAAAAATTCCTGATTGTTCTTTTCAGATACAAAATTTAGAGTTGATTCTTCTTTATAATTTTGATCATTTATTGATATTCTCAAGTTGGTGAGGCCTCACTGTCATGCTATCTGTAATTACCCAGACATGGTTTCCTTCAGATCTTAGAACATATTTATAATTGCTAATTAAATGTCATTTTCTCTTCAGTCCAAATGTGGACACTGTAGGAACAGTTTTCTTTTGACTCCTGTTTTTTGCAAGTCTCATAATTTATTGTTCAAAACTGGACTTTTTAGGTTATATAATGTGACAACTTTGGAAATTGAATTTCCCTCTCTCCCACAGGGTTTGACGCTGTTGTATTCCTTTCTTTTTCTCTTGTAGCTATTTGTTCATTTAGTCACTGTTCTGGACTAATTCTACAGTCTACAAGGGGTGCCAAAAAAAATGTATAGACATTTTTAAGAGATGTTATCCATGTATCACTTTTCCAAGTTGAATTGAATTACGGTAGCAGTGTGTAGTATGATGCTCGTGTAAAAGATGTCATTAATCAAATGAATGCTAGTGTCACCAAGCAATAGGCAGGATAGTCAAAGAAAAAGGCAGAAACACAGTTGTCATTCCAGGAGCGCAAGACCATTTTGAAGTAGTTTTTGAAATTCAAGAATGTTGTGGAAGTACAACAGTGGAGGCGTGAGTCTGTAACAGAACCTCCAACACGCCTAACAATTGCATGCATTCGTGATAAGTTTGAGATGCATGGTACTATGTGTGACGTGCACAAGGGAAGATCTGGGAGGCCTCACACAGAAACAAGTCCTGCTTCTTCTGCTGTGGTGTTGGAACAGTTTACACGCTCGCCATGGAAGTCTACCAAACATTGTTTGCTGTAATCAGAAGTGTCTGGATGCTGATGGGAACCACTTTGAGCACCTCTTGTAAATGCAGAAGTCAAACGTGACTTGTATTCATCTTTTGTTGTTGGTATATATTGACTATTACAATTTTAATAGTTTTCCTTTCTTAAAATGTGTATCCATGTTTTGGGCCCCCTCTGTAGATTCCGTTGTGTGTGGCTACTGAGTCTCTGCTCAGTTAGCTTGGTGGTCAGCATATGATGATTGGTCAGAGATTTCCTTAAATGTCTTGAACCAATCAGCTTTTCACCCGTAGCCATGAGGATCTATGAATATTTTAAGAAATGTCTTAAACATTCAGTTTACAACTTTGCCTTAACCTTCACTTCCTGCTTACACAAGACTCTAAAGTCAGCCACAGGGCCCTCTCAGTCCTCTGTCAGGTACGCACACTACCTGTCTCATGGCCAAGAGTCCCCACATTATGTCAGAGCATCACAGAGCTCTCTCTGCATAAAGATATATCTTCTCCGAGATCTTTCTTTTGAATTTGTGGTCAGGCTTTTTCCTATAATTGGTCTCACAGGTTAGATAAGATGGAACAGTGGCAGTGCCCTGTGAGTGGGGCTTTTCTCCAAAGGGCTGGGGTAGCGATAGTGACCTGACAATGGGCTTTATGAGGAGCTGTAAGTGTTACCCTGCTGGTTGCATGGAAGCCATCCATCAAGACAATAGTGACACTGAGGAAGGGGCGTGGGAGGAGGCCAAGTGACAGAGCCACGAACCCTCCTGTTCCTTCCCAGGTGCAGCGCCGTTCCCCAAGCAGTGCTCCTCACATTGCTCCAAGCCTGCGGTTAATTCTGAGAATTCTGAATAAAGTTGACTTGGATACTTTTGGACAGTTTTCATTGCTTTTACAGCGTAATAGTTCATCTGAGTCCTCACGCTGCCATTCTGGAATTCCTGCCCAGTGGTGGCTCACCCTGCCTATGTAATTTAACGTGGAAATGATTAAATTTCAGAAGACCCAGAAGATTAAAAAGAAAAAAAAAAGTCTTGTGACGTTTGGAAAATTATCTAAACTTGTTGATATTTAATATCCTAACATATAAAATAGGGAATAATGGCTCATTGAAAAGATTTTGTGAGGATGAAATAAGTC